ATAGGACTAAACAGATCATCTTCAGAAATAGTACTACCATGCTTTGTACTGAAGCATCATGGCTGTCTGTGATTGGCATAAATCCAGCTCACACATTTTCTATTTTGAAAAAGCTTTCACTGTGTTCAGCCACTGCTTCTCATGGAAGAAGCCAACTGTTTTCTACTTCCCCCAATCCTCAGTGAATCACAAATTTATAAATTAATTCCAGTCACTACAGACAAAATATATTAAATACATATKATACATATTATTACATCAATTTGTATTAACTAAAATAAATATCTGGGAATGATAAAGCTATACTAAAATGAAATGAGAGCTTCAAAAAAGTTTTGATAGAAGAATATTAATTTGATTTGTTTAGCTCAGCATAATATATATATACCAAATTGATAATGAAATAATTCTGTATATATTTCTAACCAAATTAAAAAATAAGTTAAAGAGGAAGATCTCATTAAAAATATGAATGGTGCATCAGGATTTAAAGTAGGGTTACATGATACTTTCAATTCAAAGAAAACCTGACTATGGATAAAGCTAGAAAGTTGTACAGGCAATGGGTTTTTCAGTTGCAGGGGGGGAAAGCAACCCCGACTTTTTGGACAAGAATTTTCACCACCAAAATATTTTCTTAATTACTAGGTTTTGTTTTCTTGGGTGAATAAAATTTCAGCACTTTTTGACCCAGGTTAGACAATGGCATTAATTAAAACAAAAATGAAGAAATCRTTTTGAGGAACTCATCATAAGCAGAACTGAAATATGCTCCAAGTGGCCTAAAGAACAACACTCTTCTTAGTGGTCACATCATTACCACCAGGTCTTGTGTCATTCATCCACAGTAGAGGAGATGCCATTTAATTTCCTCTTCATCCTGAAGAACCCGAAGAAGAGAATAAGATTTATTGGTGAATGAAAATTTTAGGGTGAAATTTTCACCACTTTTTTTTTAAACTATACTTTGCATGGATTGTTTCAAAGAAAGTATGAGCTCTTAACTCATGAGTGGTGACAGAGGATTGGTACCCCCTGCCATAGGAGATGGTTTGAGGGAATACCCTGATTACTTAGGCAGCAGCATAAAAAAGTAGATTAGAAACCACTTTCAGTGGTTTTATGAAATCATTTCCTTGGCATTTATATAGTATCTGAAAACTAACCAGATATGCCAAAATGTTTTAAGATGCTTCGTGAGACAAAATGTTTTGATGTTTTGAAACTGTTATAATTTTCATTTAATCTGAAACTCTTTTTCCAACTGTGTCCAATTTTTTAAAGCTTCAACTACTATCTCTTGCTACTTCTGTAGAAAGAAAATTTCCCCAGAATTTCCACAATTGTCAATAACAAGATTGCCTTACAAAGATCCAAAGCAGAGTTATATCTGTATGTAATTAATCATTATTAATAACCTTCCATAACAAGATGTCCTTCTCTAGACTGTTTTCAAGTTTCCCTTCAGTTTCCACACATCATCTCCACATGCTATCTACCTTTGCCTCTACCTTTTCATTTTCTTTCCTTTGCCTTTTCGTGCTAGAAGTAAGGCCCAGATGACTTTGATCTTATCTGTCCACTTTAACTCTCTTGCAGGTTCACCAGTTYATATTCATCACTATTCTAAGAAATCCAATACATAAACAGAAAAGATAACACATGAAATTCAAATACTGTGTGAAGACCGTTGTCACTTCTTGTGGGGAGATGAATAATAAATCAGGTCCAGGATCATGTGTGTCAGGAAAGAGATTTAGTTTTAGACTCTCTGAGCTATTGTGCCTTTGTTTAACAGTGTGCACTGATGACCTGACTCCTGAACTGCTAGAACAGGAAGTGTGAAGCAGGGCCACAAYGGACCAACCTAAAGCAGAATGGAACCTGCTAACAAGGGAGACTGTGTGCATGCAGCCAATACCACAACCCAGCTCCAGTACCCAGCTGGAGGAAGATATGAATCGACTTCTTGAATCTAATCAGCCATATCTTCTCTGTCACGTAAATCTATAAGTCAGTAAGTCATGACACAACACTGTTTGTATCCTTCTCTCTTTCAGTATGGTGGGAAGCAAGAACCTGTGCAAAAGCAAGTCTTTTCTTTCCAAAAATTCCAGATGGAATACATGCAACAAAAAAAAAGCAAGTCTTACCATATATTTTTCACACACAGTTACCACAACAAGAAAAAAATCACAATGAAATGCAGTATGAGTAGCAAGCTTTGAAATGTTGCTCCATAAGCATTAAAAGGATCACTAAGTTTCCAAGCTCCTCTAAATCTGTGCTCTTTTCATGCCCTGAACCACCAATATCAGTCCCAGCTCTTGTGTTGGTTATACTGACATGGTCACCAAAAGAATGACAGAATATCTGAGGGCCCATCAGCCAGATCCRCTGGCCAGCCAGTCACTACTGGACACTGTAGTCATCTGGACACTGAGCAGAGTAATTCTTCCACTGCTTTTGCTCTGRTCCGGTCTTTCTCTTTTACCTTATGATAGATTTCACAAAAAAATTTTGTGTAATGTCCAGAAGATATTACATCTAAATTAAATTTCTAGCTAGCCACCCTTCCATCCTGTAGTTATGCTTCAAAAGTGCTTAGGAAAGCCAGCATCCCACTGGCTAGAGCTGTGGCTATCCCTGCACAGCAGCCCCTGGGAAATTATATTGGGTTTGTGTGGTCACATTTTGGTAGCAGGGGAGCTATAAGGGTGGCTTCTCTGAGAAATTGCTAGAAGCTTTTCCCATGTCCAACAGAGCCAATGTCAGTCAGCTCCTCCAAGCTGGCCCCACTGCTGGCCAAGGCTGAGCCAGTCAGCCATGGTAGTAATGTTAAACTGAAAAAAAAAGTTATTGTACAGAAGTAATTGCAGACAGAGAAGAGAGGAATGAGAATATGTGAGAGAACCAATGCTGCAGACACCAAGGACAACAAAGCAGGAGTGGCAGAAGGTTCTCCAGGAACCAGAGAAGAGATATCTTTGCAGCTCATGATAAAGACCATGTTGAATCAGGTTGTCCCCTTGCAGCCTGCAGAGGTCCACAGAGGAGCAGAGATCCACCTGCAGTGCCTGGAGAAGTCCCACACCAAAGCAGGTGAATGCCTGAAAGAAGGTTGTGACTGTGGCTCTGCAGGAAGCCCTCTCAGGCTACTGAGAGGACCTGTGGCACTGTGGAGAGAGAATCCCATACTACCAGGTTTCCTGGGAGGTATTTTYATCTCACAGAGAACATATGCTGGAGCAGCCTGTTCTTCAAGAACTGCAAGTCATGAAAAAGGACCGACGCTGGAGCAGTTTGTGAAGAGCTGCAGCCTGTGGAGAGAACTCATGCTGTCTCCTGTGTGAGGTACCCCAAGCTAGGGCAGGGAAAGGACTCCTCTTCCTGAGGAGGAAGGAGTGGCGGAAACAATGTGATGAACTACCTGCAACCCCTGTTCCCATCTCCCTGCTAGCTGTGGGGAAGGAGGTAAAGAATCAGGAACAAAGTTGTGTCCAGTAAGGAGGGACAGGTGGGGGTAAGCTATTTTTAAGATCTGTTGTACTTTTCATTATCCTACTCTAACTTTGACTGGTAATAAATTTAATTAGCTTCCCAAAGTACTGTGATGGCAATCAGTGAGTGATCTGTCCCTGTCCTTATCTTAACTCATGAGCCTTTCATTCTCTCATTTTCTCTTCCCTGWCCAGTTGAGGAGTGATAGAGAGGTTTTGGGGGACATTTGGAAGTCAGACGTGTTAAACCATCATAGGAATCCACCCTGTCCTTCACTCCCACTCTGTCCCTTTCCTAGGGACAGAGTACTCACTCACGGCAATCAAGATTTTGGCTGCACCTCAAGCAGGACTTTTGGCAAGGCCTTGGAATCAGCACAATTCATACCCCAAGTGCTGTTTTAGTCCTACACACGTAACCTATTCCTCCTCCCTCAGCAGGACTTCGCTCCCACGTGCATTGGAGAGCAGCTAGGTACATTTTCTACACTTCAGTGTCACCTCCAGTAAGCATTTACCCTCACAAAATCCAGCAGCTGAGAGGCTGGGCCCGCTCCTGCCCAAGTGGATGTCCCACAGCCCCACTCCCAGCTGGCCTGGATCCCTCACTGTTCTGAGGGGCTGGTGGCCTACGAGGCCTCAGGYTGGCCCCACTCTCTAGGGAAAGCCTTGGTCTGCAGGACCCTGCTTTGCTCTCTTTCTCTGCCCGAAGGAGGATGTCCTTTTGGCCAGGAACTGCTTCAGAAGGGTTATGGCACACTTCCCCTGCCCTCTCCTGGGATCTGTCAGCAAGTCACCTCTGGTGGGACAGTGAGCATGTCAGGTCAGTGACAACCCTCGGCTGCAGTCTTGTCCGCGAACCCTGCAGGGGCAGTGTTTGGGTTCAGTGCCTGGAGGCCGATGCAGACGTGGCAGTGGGGCTGCAGGGGGTGAGGGATACACTTTGGAGCCTTGTGAGGTTCTGCGCAAGTCCTGCCACAGCTGCTTCAGCTGTGAACTTCCCATCCTGGAGCACACTCCTTTAGGGAGCCTCTGATGGACAGACTGTTCAGATATGAGAGATTTTGCACTGAATAAGAGAATGTTTCATGGCAATACATGTAGCAAGGAACTCTTAGATCTGTGGGGATTTTTTTCCTTTTCAGTTACATTTTTTATTTGCTGAATTCTCTTGCTAAAAATCATCGTTGCTATGTACAGCAAATGCATGTATCTGTATTTACATAATTTTCTATCATATTCTGGCCAGAATTGCAATTCAGATATTATAAATATATGCAGTCTTTATCACATCTGGCGCTGATATTTAGAAACATCACACTGAAGTGGTAATAAGTATGGATAGAACTAGCCAAGGCAGTGCCATATTATATTATATTATATCATGCTAGTTCCACATGCCATATTAATGTCTTTCCTCAAGGGATCTTCAGCTCAACACTGTTCTTCTTGGACMTTTACATTGCCACTGAATAGTGCAGTTTGTGATGCAAGGTCCTCCATCTCTTCAACCATGAACTTAAAAAAAAAACAACCAAGGTAAGAAGCAAGCTGGAAATTGTGGTGATTTTCACAGCCGAAGGAATGCAACGTCCCACACAACAACAAATCCAGGCATTGTCATGGCATACACTCCCATCACTGTGGAACTGCAGAGAAATGGTAGGTACTTCAGCACACTGCAAACACTGACACTCGTCTTCTCTCCTCCGTCCTTCCTGTGATCTTCAGCTCCTGCTTCTGTTTGTCTTACTGTCCCACAGTGACTGCTACAGTGGTGAAGATCACTCAATGAGCAGAAGATCCTCTGAGGATTTGCTGAAGAGTCATGGCTGGGTAAAACTAATTGCACTTATTATAAATATTCCTATATTCATAGTGAGTGAAGTACTGACTCAGTAAAAATTCTGTCTCAATTAAGTAATATTCTGCTATTTTTTAAAATAATACTTTCTTGCTGAGTTTTGAAACTATATCTGTGCATATTTGAGCTAGTAAATCCATTCATACAGAAACTTTGCCAGCAGTAGTTAAATATAAAAAAATGCTTCATATTTTGTCACCAGTCAAGTTCCAACAAAATGTGTTGGAGTAATTGCAGTTTCAGACACTTCGTTGCCTTTAAAAAGTGTGAATTTCAGCTAGAAAGAGACAACTTCTCCCAAACAGACATTCATCAAATTATCAGCTTTGTTGAATTCCAGCACCTGAATCCTGCATCAAACAAAAAGAAACTCTAGAGCAAAGCTTCATTCTCAGTTCAAAATAGCCCTGGGCAAAGATTTACAAGACCAAGCACCTAAGCTCAGATATGTCAGCAATCCTGAGTCTTTTTCTTCATTTTTCAGTTTGCATTCCTTGTCGTGCCTTTGCTCAAAATGCCATCTCTTTGGATTAGTATTGTCATAACGTGACCTTCATGCAATATAAGTACAGTAGAGACCTACACTTAAATAGGATTTCCAAGTAGAAGTAATTAACAGGAAAAACATAATTGTAAAAATGAGCCTGGACATAACCTTATTCATTTACTTATTATTTTGGAGATATTTCAGTGTTGTAGGACAGATGAGATGCAATTTTTCCTTAAAAAAGGAGGGGGGTTCCTCTGTAAACTTCCCTTTCCTTATAATTCCAAGAGAAAGTACTTTAGAAGAGTATTAAGAGAAGTGAATAAGGTTTTAGTTTTACACAGAACAGTACTATTCCTTTATCTTAATTCATTTCCTGAAAAGAGTTTTGARTCTTTGGAGTTCCCTTAGAGGCACAGAGAAGCTCAAATGACTTGCTGTCACATGCACAGTGACATTGGTTTGGGTTGCTTAGTAAAAAGAGTCCTTCAGTAATAATCTTGTTTGAATTGTATTATATAGTAAAGGATGATCCATTGTCAGTCAGAATTTCACTAGTCTGCCTTGAATGATAAATATCGGAGTTTGTCCTTGAACTATGTTTACYGTCTTTCTTGTATCTCTTGCACCATAGGTCCTTCATTAGCTTGACAAAATAACTTCTGAACTTCACTCCAATAAATGCATAGAGCACAGGGTTCACACAACAGTGTAAAAATGCTATGGCTTCAGTGGTGTATCTTGCATAAGCCATTATCTTGTCACTCTCACAAGACTTGTCTATCTTGCCCATGTTGACAGCTATGATGAGAAGAACAATGTTATAAGGTACCTGGCAAACTAGGAAAACAGCTACAATTAATACAATCACGCGGATTGCTTTGTTTCTTTTGGAATTCTGAGCTTGTTGTAAGGATTTGACAATGAAGGTATAGCAAAAAATCATGAATATGAAAGGAATAAAAAATCCAAATCCAACTTGTAGCCACAGCAGCAGTGATTTCAGCATTGTGCTTTCAGACATTCCGTCAAATCTGTGATCACAAAGCTCTTTGGTTTCATTTATAGAGAAGCTGTAACTTCCACTGTACATAAAAGAGGAACTAGAGATTAAAATTGATGATACCCACACAGCCAAACAAATGAGCTTGCTATGTGCAAGAGTCCTTGCCCTGATTTTAAAAGACTTTGTTGCCTGTACGATAGCAATGTACCGGTCCACGCTGATAAAGGCCAAAAGCAGCATGCCACAGCTGAAGTTGATTGCATATATACCTCTGGTCATTTTGCAAATGAAATCACCAAAAATCCATTCATCAGCAGCATAATTCACTGCCCACAGTGGAAGAGTAAGAACAAACAGTATGTCTGCTATGGCCATGTTGAAGAGGTACACATCTGTCATGGACTTGGTTCTTTCATATAAAGCAAAGGTCATCACCACAAAAATGTTACCAAAGAGGCCAATGATACAAATCAATGAATATGCAACTGGCAGAAATGCTTTTGTGAAGTTCCTGACTTCCAGCTTAGAACAAGGTTGTGTGATCTGAGAAGCATAGTCTGAATAATAGGGGTAATCTGTGGAATGAGGGTCTGTCTGTAAAAAAGGAAAACACCAGTTAACATACAGATGTTAATCTTTAATTCCTGTATAGTAGAAACATGGTAGATAACTGACCACATATTTCATTTGCAAATGCAGTTAATACTACAGAGGAGACTTGTAAGAACTGTGTAGGAAATTTCATAAAATAATACTTAAAATACAAACATGGAAGTAATCCTTTTAGATGGCCCAAAGGTCTCCATATTTAAATACATTATGCAGTAAGGACTAGTCTGCTGTCACAGAAGACTTTATGGTGCAAAAGTCTGAAATTGAATTAGAGGTCTAGTTTTCTTTAYCCATATGCAAGGCAAATGAGCCTTTCTACCATGTTATGTATTCCATACTAATGTAGCTTGACTAAATCAAGCCCAAAAATGATTACTTCTCTCTACTGAGAACATGCAATCAATGACAGCTAGCCTGAGATACATCTACCTGCACCACAAAAAGCCAACTTGTAGCTATGAGAGGGCAAATCCAATAAACAGTGTGCTTTGACAGTGAACACTGCTATCAGAAACATCTCTTCAACTTATCACTCCTTAAATTAGGGATTTTGGATCTGCAGCCTCAAAAATCTGGGACTTACAGAGTCATTGCTTTATTGGTGTACTAATATAGTTTATCAATTAGGTACTTACAAAATTCATTTCGGCAGTAGACCTCTCAGAAAAATATGTTCAGAAGGACTTCAAAATACTTTCCCAAGTATTTCTGAAAAGGAAGTAGATTGGATTGGGAAACTAGCACAAGAAGTGTAAACAAGTAGAAAAACATAACTGGAAGTAAAACATCTACTCAAAACAGAATCTCATCACTGGAGCACGTTAACAAATCATACATCTCTACAGCAGAATGTGCAGTTGTAGAAAGTGAATGGTTTGTATCAGTATCATTAAGAGCACAGTCTTTCATATTGARTGTCTATAGGCTCATAAGTGATCTATGTGAATATGAGACTCTTACTTCACATTAAATTCACAGCACAAGAAATTAGAATAAATCAAATTTTATTTTCAGAAATTCTGTATGACAATGGCAATCAGTGTATTGAGGAAATATGGAAAAAATAAACAGCACTCCCATTACTTCATAACAGTAATGCAACACTTTCATTTTTTTCCACTCTGACTCTTCATCAGAGCTTTCAACCTCACATTAGCTGTCCTTTATTGTTATGCTAGTGAGGTAAATGAAAAGCACCAGAATAGTAGATTCTTATAGTATAAAGAATAGTACACAATGTATGAGCAGACTGAGCACAGGTGTTCAGTGCATGGACTTCAAGTGTAGCGCTCAGTGTGCAGTTCTGACAGCACCTCATGAAAACAGTTTGTTTTCTTTATCACTGTGATACCTAACTAGTTTACAAATGGTGGTTACTTAATTTGCACAGCACCCTGTGATGAGGAAGTATTACCACATTTATTTACAAGGGAGAACCTGAGTCATTATAGTTAAGTATCCACTTGAGATGTTCAGTTTGGGACAGTATTCCCCTCAACATCACTTTTAAGAGCACTTAAAATGATGAAGGACTTCAGTTATGTAAATTATTAAATCCATTGACTGTTTGCATTCAGGATCAGACTTCTGCAAATCAGATCACAGAGTCTAAAGTCACAGAAAAATAAAATGGGGAGCCTGCCATCATTGGCCACATGTGGGAAGCAGGGCTTAAATAACTTTTTCCACCTCACAAAGGAACTCATGGGCAGGAAATTAAATTCCTCAGCATTCCCTTGCATGTGTTCAATCCTTCCCTTCTTTCCTTTAGCTGCTCTCTGAGAACTTCACCTGTCATCAAGGCAGTAATTTCAGGGACTGGATTGCATGAGATGCCATTTTTGCTAAGGCTGTGATGAGCAGTTTTGTCTAGACTTGCCTTGTTTTTGCTAGCTGTTCTGCTAATTGGGAAGAGTACATGGGTCGGCTTTAAGTCTCCACAAACAAAACCTTCTTGTTTGGGAATTACCTAATGTTGAAAGAGAGAGAGAGACAGATAATCTCTAAAAGCAGGGCAGATGAAGTCCTGATATAACAGGGAAATTGGGGGAGGGAAAGAACAGAACACTCTCCAAAAACATAATGAGGATGACTCATGCGGGGGTGCTGACTTATGGCAGAGTGATGCAGGTGGGTAAAGACCCAGGCTATATGATGTGGTTAAGGCGTAGCAGCTTAACATGTCTAGGTTATTATTTTAGAAAATGTTATTTTATTGTTGCAAGAAAAAAACCATTCTAAGTGCCTGCTGTTCATGACTTTTTAACACCTACATGGTTAAAATATACAAAGAGAGCCTGGCAGCYTATCTCCTCTATGAAAGACACCTTTCATTCCACTTAACACTGACATAACAAATAGAAGGAAGATGACTGGGTGAAGGCATGTAGCAGAAACACCTGTGTTCCCTACAGACTGCAAGGAGGGCTAAGAAGGGAGATCTCTTCAGTTTGTCACTGAGGAAAGGCTCTTTAGTTCTCAGAAGATCTCAGCAGAGATCCCATAGAGAGCATCAAGCACTCATCACAGGACAGATGCTTCCTCTCCCTTATTCTACAGGAATTCGCAATGGCACCACCAGCACACATATRTTCATGAAGTTACTTCCACTGTCCAGCAAAAGCTTCCTGAGGATGGTTGGTATAAGAGTTGTAGCAAAGCACTCAAACTGAAATCAGAATTTCAGCGATCGGATTTAGACTTGATTTAAATCTCTTGAGCTGACTTCCTCTTCTGAATTTGAAATGGTGCTTTTTGAAGTTATTAAAAAGATGCACTGGCTGCTGAGGAAATTGAATCAGAAAACTTATAAATAAAATTTCCTTTTTGATTTAAATCTTTCTTTCAGTATTTCAGTAGGCACCTTTATAATCTGCATATTTACATCTTTATATAGCATTAATGTATTAGGTAAATATAAAAATATATATAAGGTGTTGCATATGTTCTAACATTGGTTATGTCCTCCATATGGGCATATGTCTATGCATATGCACTCGAAAGCACTTATGTTCGGAATATTAAATAAAATATATAAGCCTTGAATTTTTAAGCTTAATATTTTTCCACTTTTTCCACATCATCACGTTTTTTTCACTATGAAAGCAGTGTGGAAGTACTCAAAAGTAAGTGTAAACCACAATCTTAAGAACAAATATACTATTTGAATTAACAAACAAAAGACAATCAGTAAAGAGAAACCCAAGGAAAAAGACAGAATTCTATGAAGAAAAAAATCGGTCATTAAGTACTTTTAAGAGTAGTGCACCTTTATAAGTACAATTCCCCTTACATGTTCAGTTTAATACATTTGCCACATATATACATGGATTATAGATGACCTGCTTTATTTCAGTACTTACCCAATTTGAAAATCATCTGAAGGCCAGGAGAAAGAGGATGTGTGATTCTTTTAAAGTTTATTTTGTCTGCCTCAAGCACATTTACCATCAGCCTCAACAGGAATATACTTTAATTTAGAAAACAAGAAATAACAGCACTAGTTAAAGGTACAGAGTTAAATTGAAATCACCACCACTTCCTCCTGACAAGCAGCAGCAATAACCCATTTTTTTAGGTAAAGGAAAATGTTTCTTCCTGAAAGCATGCAAGCTGGAGGCAAATATTTTATTAATTTACTTATTAGTCTACCTATATAATGACATTACTTTTAAAATAATCAAGGCAAAGTTAGAATCATAAAAAGCAGGACGGTGATTGTTATTGTGCTCCTGAATGACCTGGTTTTGCAAAGGGTGCACTTAATGTCATGCAGATGAGTAGTCTCAACATCAGTCATTTAAATCAACAAGATTGCTTTGAGTAAAACCGTGAAATGTGACACGTAATAATTACCAAATTGATTAATAGCTGTCATAGAACAACAACAAAAAATATTCTGTTATATATCCGTCAAGGTGCACATAACCCAAACTTTTGTCCTGATCTGTTAATATAAAATGTGTAAATGCAGGTAAATAAGTAAATGTAGTTGCATTTGCCTGTTTGGCACAAACATGTTTCATTTCAAGACTTTGATTCTGAATACAACTTAGATATTTGGATTTGCAACAASGGGGGGGGGGGGGGGAAAGAAAAAAACCTGATACCCTCCCCTTTAAACTCCTTATTTATTTTAGATATTGTGTTTGCAATCTCATTAGAGATGCCATATGGCATAATTACAGACAGTCTCACAAGGTTCTAAGACATGATTAAATTAAYAGAACACTGGACCTAAAGAAATGCGGGATCATAGATGTTCTGCTCATTCTTTTTTATTTCTTTCTAAAGTGAGCACAACACAGTAGCAGAGGCCCCCAGCAGCTAAAGTGCTTGGTGCACTTAACAGTAACAACACTTTTCAGTAACTTAGTGCTGTTTTCACTTACCCAGTGGATTAAACAAAAACACTGCTCAGTGTCAAAAGGAGGACTGGTAGATTTAAAGCAGTATGTCATAATGGTTCATAACCCTCTARGCAGGCACATGTCGTTTTCTCAATGGCTTGTTTTCATTGGATCCAAGACTTCAGCTATTATAAAATACATTTGTATGTAACAAAAAGATACCTGAAAGCCCTGAAATGCAAGTCCTGTTTTACCTAAATGTGCATGTATATGTGGACACAATGTATGCATGTTTTGGTTGTTACTGCTAAATGGCGATCTTCACTATTTGATACATACAAAGCAAAAAAGTGTGGACTGTATCTGYGACTCAACTTCAGTGGGGTCACTATAAGATTAATTTGACTTCCTTATCCCTGTTTGGAATAAACCACTCTCTGTCATCACAGATCAGGAGCAGGTTATGATTAAAGCAATAACACAGGTAAGCACTTGAAAACGTTTTTTTGAAGTCCAGTAACATGGAGAAAAGAAGATGTGAGAGAAGTGCAGAGAAGAGGAGGTGAAGACAGAAGTCCCTATGAATCTTTCAAGACATTCTTAATCACAATAGCAAAGTAATTTTCATTCTATTATTTATAATTTTATAATTCATAAAAATTTCCATCATTAAAACTTCACAGGTTTTCAGGCCATTCTTTGAACCTTTGTGAAAGGGGCTTTGACTTTCCTTGTAACTATGTCTTTGTTCTGTTTTTGCTAATTTGCTCTTATTTGCATGTCAAATTGTAGTAATGCAAATCATCTAACTAACTTGAGATGAGACTTGCAAWGTATTTTCTGGACTTTCTTAGAAAGAAAAAGAAAAGCTTCATTTTGAAATCTCCTGTCCGTCAAGTGCTGCAAGGAACAGTACATTTACTCTTGATAAACTGAGGAGCATATCTCTTCGTAGTAGCATAACTATATCTAACAGCCTAGATCCTGTCTACTGAGAACTCATTTTCTGTAAACACTCCCTGAAGAAAAACAACTGATTCCTGTTCGCAGTCTCTGACTGCTTGAAAGAAGGGCTCAAACCCGGTTAAAAATTCATAGTAGGAGTACATTCATTCTGTTGGGAAAAGAATTTGCTCATGTCATTGTGGGATATTTCACTGAAGCCTTTCTAGTGCTTCTTTCTCATAACTTTGGGAGTGAAGAGATGRATGTGTGTCTTGCAAAGCAAACTTCGTTAAAGAAAGACAAACCTAACACATGCCAATCATGTAACCAGCAAATAATGAGGAGCAGAAAACCCCCTTCTATTAAAAAAATGTCTGTGACTTCAAACCACCAAGTCCATCATGACTG